AAATTAACTTGCCCTTAGTACATGAAGAATACTAAAGCTTTCACACTAAAATATGAAGAGAAAAATATTTGATTTGATTATCATAATATATTCCTACATAATGATCATCCATTTAGGAGGAATAAAGAAAAATTCATTAAAAATAGAGTTGAGAAGTCACATCTTTCACTCATATTAAACGGTGATGATATAATACAGAGAATTTTTGACTTTTTATTAATTATTAATTTTTTAATATTATCATAGTTTAAATTTTTGGGATATGGTGTTCAACATAATTGGATTAAAAAGCATTTTTTTTGGATATTATCATATTGGAGAATAAATTTGATAAGGCACAATATAGATCTTATGTACATTGAGAAGAACTTTATGAATAATATTTTTAATATAATTATAAATGTTAAAGGTAAGAGCAAGGATAATGTTAAAGCAAGGATGGACATTAAAGAGTACTACTAGCAAAAAATTTAGAGTTAGTAACAACCACCGACAGTAAAATAATGAAGCACAAATCACCTTACTCTTTCATGTTAGAGCAAAAAAGATCAATATATCAGTGGTTTAAATGTTTAAAAATATATGATGGCTATGGATCAAACTTAAGCCGATGTGTTGACCTAAAATCTGTGAGATTATTTGGACTAAAAATTCATGATTATTATGATATTCTTAATGAGATTCTTGACCTGAAGTACCCAAGCGAAGATGAGAAGTTTGTATATTTGTTTAACTATCAATGGTATGATCTAGTACAGAATAGAGGCACAAGTATTCATAATGTGTATAATTTAATTGACATAAAATATTATAGAAGATACGAGAAGTTTGATCCATTTGTGTTAGAAAGTCAAGCTTTTTAAGTTTATTTCAACAAATATTCCAGTGGTCATAGGAATAAATAAGATTGGATAGTTACCATCAAAATAAAAATACGGGGGATAATTGATCAACAATATATTGTAGCAACTATATATCAAGAGAATGAGACGTCAAATTATATGTCGGTTAAAATTATGGAGATGCCAACTATAACCTATAATATTAAAATATAGTTAGAAGATGTGAATAATTCAACTAGTTCATTAAGTTAGAATGAGAATGAAAGTGAAGATACTTTGTAGAGGAATAAAAATATTTATGATTATGAGTAGTTTTTATAATTTAAGTGATTAAATTTATTGTAATGTACTTATAAAATTATATTTTTTTGAATTCAAGTTAGTAAATATATTATTATCTTGCTAAATATCTTTTATCAAATACATTTTGAATGTTAATCATTATTGTGTATTATGTAATTTTTTATGTTTGTTATAACTAATTTATCAACATTATATATATATATATATATATATATTTTAATTTTTACTCATGCAAATCTCTGGAACACTTACAATTTAATTTTTTATATGTTACAAAGATATACTAATTACTTTTTTTAATGCAGATATCATCAAGTGATGATCCTTCTCATAAATCCTTCCTCTCAAAGTTTTCTAAAAAAAAGTTGAGTGTTGGACCTAACAGACCTAGACAGCCTAATGAAAGCGAGGGGCAAAGATCAGTTCCACCACTTATACCATCACCACCACCACCTGGGAGTCAACAATAGTCCTTTAGTGAGCAGGATCTGGGCCAGTCAAATCCACATATTATTAGTGTACAACCACCCTTTCCTTGGTACTTCCCTTTTGCGTTGACGAGTCCTCAATCTTCCTTTACCTATCAGACACATACATCTCCATTCTATTCATATTGTCTTAGGGATATATTCAATGACAATATAAAAGTTTGGGCAGCATCCATTCTAGATTGGAGAGGGCGTATGGGCATATCTGAATAGAGCTTAGGTGAGCTTTGAGTTCATAAAAATAAGAGAGCACAATAAGCATAACAATACATTTGATTATGGGGTTTTAGGAAGCTCTATTTATACTGGTGGATCTGTTCCTCATACGGAACATAGACGACGACTAGTAAAAACTTTTAATTAGTTTAATAAATATATGTATATTATTTTAAATATATCTTATATTTTTAGAAAAAGTTTCTTGGCTGGGAGCCGACACCATTGGAATTACATACGAGGACTCACCAACATCAAGCTTACCATCAGTGGGTTGATGAAAAGGCTAAAAAAGCTCATATGCGTATAATTTTTGGAGTTTGAGAATATAAATTTAATATAAAAAATCTCATTCTAATATCAAATATTTTTGGATTTATTCTCGCAGGATAATTTTGTACGTATTCGGGAAAGTCGTCAGTTTACTGGTGAGGGATCATCTTCAGGATCGACCAAGTATTTTGAGTATCATACATGGTCAGATGTTATTGGAGGAAGGCAGAGGGGAAGGGTATATGGCTTGGGTTTGCAAGGCTATGCTTATGATGGCAATTTATCCACATCAACATTTTATGATCCTAGTGAAGCTGAAGAAATTATAAGCCAGAGGGTTGCAGCCATGACGAGAGAGATAGAAGAGATGAGAAAGGTTCAAAATGAGATACAAACAGAGTTATGATCCTATAGAGTTGAAAATCAAAAGAAGAAAAAGCAAGAGCAGACACATGCATCACCAGAAAGTGAGGACACTGAAGATGATTAATACTCTTATTTTTTAGATGAACTTTTGATTTAAGCATTTGGTTTGATGAACTTGTTGTGTGAAAGTGAGGATATAGACATGTTATTGTGGATTTATATGTTATGTTCATTATAGACTTTATTTGCTTTGATGAGTTTATTTATTTTGATGAGCTTTGTAGACTTTATTTGCTTATTGTGGATTTCATTTCAATGCTATATATGTTGATTTTGGATTATAGTTGTGGGTTGATTATAGTGGCGGTTTGCTCATATTTGTGATAATTGTTCTCTATTCTATGCAGGTTTATAAAAAAATGAGTAGATAGAGGAGATGCTGTTATCTTTTTTTAAATGCTACAGGTTTTCGGCGGCAAACCGACGATTTGGTCGCTGAATATTTCAATACCATACAGCTTATTATAGCCACCAGAAGTTTAATAAAGCCACCAGTAACTACCAGCGGTTTACCGGCGATCGCCAATGGTCAACCGATGGTAACCCGACGGTTTAGCCACTAGTAAAACCAGCGGTTTTGACGGCTGATAAGCCGTCGGTGATTAACTGGCGGTCAACCAGCGGTGGCTCGGCGGTTTGGCCGCCGGTAACACCGACGATTTTGATGGTCGGTAAGCCTCTGGTGATTAACCGGCGGTCATTGGCGCTATGACCGTCGGATATTACCGCCAGTTTAGTCCACCAGAAAGCCGTGGTAAGTATAACCGCCGAAAATAGACCGTCGGAAATCATTTCCTAAGCGGTTTATTCTAACGATTTTCTAACTGCTGATATTTTACGAAACCATCGAAAATCTTAGAGGAACTGCCAAAAAAATCGCCGGTAATGCCTGAATTTCGTATAGTGTATGCCTCAGAACCTACTTGTTAAAGCTCTCCTAGGCAACCCAAAGAAAAAGAAAATAGGTCTACAGAGAGGCCGAGGCGCGAATTTTCGGAGCTTACTAGACATTGGCATCCAATTAATTTCTACAATAATTTCAACTACTATCTTTTAAATTTGGTACTATTAGTCGATAATTATTAATTAATGGTCAATTTGGGACAGCTGTAATTTTTATTAAAGTGATTTTAAAGTTGTTGTGGAGAAGTGACTGTACAGAGCAGCTTCCTATTGAAAAAATTATTAAAAGTAATGAAAATAAGTTAATAAAATAAAAATTATAGTTGAGATTTGAAAAGTAAAGCAATAAGAAAGATATCTCAAATAAAACCTAAATCTTTATTATCTTGGGTTGCTAACTTCCTTCTCATGGCAGTTATTTTATTTAATACAAAAAAAAAAAAACAAGTCTTTCTTTCTTTTAACTAATCAATTCCAAGCCAATAGTGCATGATAGATCAATTAATTGTCTCCCACCTTCAAAAGCTAAACCACACACCCTACATAACCAACTATAAGCCAAAATTTGCATGAGTATTTTATTTTATGAGGCGTGTGATCCACTTTAAATTTTTCTTTCTTTTTTAATGATGTGTTAATTATATAATTTCCAAAAAGTTTTCTTATCTTTAGAATGAATTAACTAGATTAAGCTTTATTTAATAAAATTTACTTCTTCTTTGCTTACTTTTTTTTAAAGAATATAATAATTTTATCTTATATAATCATATAACTAAAGCTCATTTGTTGCATTTACACTACATTTTGTTTCCATTTGTTTGCATTTTCATCTTGCATATCTATAAGATAAGCCACCTAGTAGATACAATGAAAGGAATAATAAAAAACTATTGACATATTTAAACGGCTACAGTAACACTTTCATTCTTCACTGAGGTTTTGTTTTTGGAGAAATTATTAAGTGCGAACGCCCAACGCAGCTCTACGTCCAGAGGCAAATTAGGCGCAGCCACGTCAGTGGTACCGAGCAATATTGAGCGAAGGGGTGATGTGGTACATTCTGGTGGGTCAGTGGATGGCATTCGGCATCCACACAGAATAATTTCTTGTTTTTTATAGCTTTCTTCATGCTTTATAAAATCGCTACAGATAAAGTAACTTTTAAAGTGTTATAGAAAACAACTTCCTAATAAAAAATAAAAATTATGATTGTGATCTTAAAAACAATACAATTAAAAAATTGTCACAAACGAAATCTAAATGAATGCAATGAAGCTTGTTTTTCTCTGCGAGGAGAAATGAAAAGGAATCAAATGGGGAGGAGATGAAATAGAGATATTTCAGCAGTTGAAACTAGCAAAAAATTAATCAAGAGAATATTTGCATTAAAATGTTATTTTAGGGAACTATTTTGAATATGATTTATATAGTATGTTTATTTGGTTATATTTTGACATATAGGGTTATTTTTTCTATTATATATCGAGGAGTACATTATTGAATAGTGGACAAGAAGTGATTTTTTCTTTTAATAGAGATCACTGAGGTATTACTTAAAAGCCTTAAACGCGTTCTTATATGCCTTGAAACAGAGATTACAGAGAGCATTACTAAATAAAGAGTTCGAGAGCTCTTCTTTCACTTCAGGCCAATCTGTAATATGCCTTCAAAGACAGCAATAAGCAGGCCAATTACATAAAAATGGAAAGGAACAGTGAAAAAAAAAAAAAAACTTGAGAAAAAAAGGTCAGGGAAAAGCCCCTCCTTTCCCTTAGAACAGTAACCTCTCATTTTGTTTAGCCACTCGAGAGCCTGCTTCTCCAAGCTCTCTATCTCTCTCTTTCTCTCCTCACCAAATTCAAATTTTACCAAGCTTCTAACTCTTCAGTTCCTGCTTCACCTTCATGAGAACATCTGGCACCGGCTCTGCAACTGGAACTACGACAGAATCAATGGAAGAGGATGATATCATCTTCTTGTTGTTGGCTTTTGCCTTTTCAATCTCCACTTCGTCAACTTCCAATTCCAGGATCATTGCATTTCCTTCAAGGACACCCTTCACTGCTTCAAGAGGCAGAGTCATGGATTCCTTCTCTTTGTTCTCTTTGCTCTCTCTGTATTTTCCCCATAGAACAGAGTACAGCCCTCCCACAATCAGAACACTACCAAGAACCCTGCAAACATAAAAGAAAAAAATTCAAGAGACCGGCCAATAGTAGGAGGAAGACAAGGAGAAAAAAAGAGGAAAATTCGGTTTAGCTAAAGAGGTTGAATTTCATGTTCTTAATCTTACCCTCCCATGTATATATTTTCAGCAAGAACAAAGGAGCCCATGACGGCCACTATGATCATCATCAAAGGGCTGAAGGCTGACGCAAATACGGGACCTTTCTTCTGAATAACCAGTCCTTGCACATAATATGCGATGCTTGAAGTAACTATACCCTGCAAAATTTGTTCTTCTTCTTGTCACCATTTCTTTCTCTTAAGAAGATGACAAAGCAAAGTGAGAACGGGGAAGAGGAAAAGAAGCTCACAGCGTATGCAGCGGCAAGCAGGTTCATGTCCCAGCCAATGTTCCATACCGAAGGCTTGCTTCTTTCCATGACAAGAGTGACAACAATGGCTTGTAAGGTTCCCACAAAGCAGATCAATGTGGTGAGGGTGAGTTGAGCAGTATACTTCTTCAGAGTTGCAGCCTGCAATTATCAAACCAGAATTTTCTCATTAAGCTAACGTAAATAAGTAACAATGTTATCTTCTTTAAACAATATTTACAAATAGATTGAAAAGATTTACTAAAGATTGCACCTGGAGAATGAAAAGAGAAGCCCAAGCAAAGGTTGCTATGATGAGGAAAATGGAGCCCTTAACCCAGTCCTGGTCGGAAGCCATGGAAGCCGACGGTGGAGCACTGGCTTGGTTAATATGAATATACCGTGTCCAGAAAAGCTGGACGAGGGGGCCTTTGTAAAGTGTCATCATCATTGCTCCAGCCACAGTCACAACAGTTCCAACTACCTTAGCTTGATATATCACCTTCTTAAGGTTCACCTTCTCCATCCTAATTCAGAAAAAAAAAAAAAAATGTTAAGTACTCAATGAAGTGCTTATCTTTGTTTAGTTTCTGCTCTAAATATGTCACCTGCAAATCACAGCCATGACGAAGGTCATAGCAGGAAGCATATTGCTCATGGCACAAGAGAACGTTGGGGAAGTAAATTTGAGCCCGGCATAGTAGAAGTTTTGGTCTATCACTGGCCCAAGCAAAGCCAGAGCAAATATTTGCAAGAACATGGTGAATGTGATTTTGGTTCTAACTTTTCTGCCATCAGAACAAGAAGCAAAAACTGTTTGAGAAAGATTTTGAACAACAAAAGGAGATTGAACAGTGAAAGCTAATGAAGATTATGTAAACCTTTCGAGGATGAGGGCGAAGGGGGCAATGGAGAGAGTGGCGAAGGCATGGCGGTAAACAACTAATACATAGTGGCTCATGCCATGATTAAGTGAGACTTTGGTGATGACATTCATGCCCGCATAGCCAAATTGAAGCGAGATCATGGCTATGTAAGGCTTGCATCTCTGAAAGAAGCTGTTGCTTCTTCCTTCGTTTAACTGGCAAGCCATTTCTTCTAAGGATTGAATTGGAGTTTAATGGAGGCTGAGAAGAGCAAGCTTAATGGTACAGGAAACTGGTTTTCTTCTGCTCTTCTTGGTGAAAGGTGGATAGGCTATGCTTATTTATAGCTAAGCCGAGGAGAGCGTCCCGAGGTGGGACTGAGGAGTTTTCGTGAACAACCTGGTGGAATATTGTCGTCATTAAAGTTCTTTCTCTCTATCTGAAAATTAGAAGATCAAATCTCTCTCTCTCTCCGTGAAAAAATCATAAATTTGGGCTAAGAAGAGGTGCCGAAAAAAATTTTAGTGGGCACAATTTAATGATTTCTGAAATACTTATATATTTTTTCAAATGATTTATATTTTTTCATCAGTTGATCCTGTTGTAAGATTTGCTCATCTTATTATAAGAAATTATTAGGTAATTTTTTATTTTAATAATTTGATATTTTTGAAATTTTTTTGATCAAATTTATATTTCATAAATGTGGAAACAACGATAATTTTGTATTGATAAAACTTTATTGTATAACTTTTTATATGTTATAGAAATTGAGATTATAAACGTTCTGAATATTAATTTGAAATTTTTTATCATATAATAATAATAATTTTATTTGTCATATTTATATTTTGGATCGCAAAGCGGTGATCTAGCAGCCCAACATTTGCCACTAGTTGAAACAATCTCCTGGACGGAGGTCATGATCAGAAATAAAACTATCGATCAAAACATCAATATACACATCTGTATTAATTTTTCAAAAAAATCATACACTACTCATGATCTATATAATCATACCAAATTATCATGGATCGTATACTAATATTTTGAAGCTTTAATTAAACTAAAATACTATTTTAGATGTCAAAATACATTTTTGAATTGATAAAAAACACTGTTGTTTTCAAAATAAACTGAAAAAATCTTAAATAAATAATCAAAACGTTCATAATATTAATCACTATAACATATAAAAAGTTACACGGTGAAGTTTCATCAACAGAAAATTTTCTTCGTTTTTCGAAAATTTAGATGAAATCGATTTGCAAAACAAATGTTTAATTATTAGGCCAGCTGACCTGACGTAGCTCTACGTTCGGACGCCAATAACATGTCGCCACGTGGTCTTACTCAATACCGCGCGGCCTGACGACTTGACCCGGGATTGCTATGTTCGCGTATTGCTTGGTATTGCTCTAGGTATTGCTAGGTATTGCTTGGCAATAATGAAAAATATCACTCTGTGAAGACCAATACTGAGTAATACCGAGAAAAACTCGGTATTGCTCGGTATTACTCAATATTGCTCGGTATTGGCCTTCATAGAATGCTATTTCTCGTTATTGCCGAGCAAAATCGATCAATACAGAGCAAATACCGAGCAATACCTAGCAACATGCAAACAATGCAATCCCGTTTCCGTTCAGGGTAAGTTGGGGTTGTTGGGCTGCGCGGTAAATAGTGAAAACACGTGGCACTATTTTAGTGGCATTCGAACGTAGAGCTACGTCAGGTGACTAGACCAAATAAAACTTCCTTGTATTGACACGTTTCAATCTTTTAAGAATTTACACAAATGCTCAAAATAATGAAAAAGTTAATGTGATTAAATCACTATAATATATATGCTATGATAAAATTGATTTGTGATTTAAATTTATAATGATTACTAAAAAAATTATTTGACTGGATTATTACAGTATGTGTCGTGAATGGATCTGTAACATGCAATGTCGCCAATCCTGATCTCTTTTGTAGGACCAACGTAGCATAGACTTGGAATAGTCGCACTTATCGATCGCTCTGTAGCACGGCAAATTATTGCGTCCGGTGTCTAGATTCGTCCGGACATCAATCCGGTATTGCCATGTCACCAAAATACTTCGGGACCCAGTGTATTTGGGTGACGTGGCGTCACCGGATTGGATGTCCGGACATCCAGCGATCGGACCAAATAATGCGCCCTGTAGCACACGATAGTTGTTGGCCAGTTCTCTCTCTCCAAGAAGGAATTTTTTGCTCCGACAAGTGAGATTTGTAACTGGTTCTCTTGCACTTTTTTAATTAACATGTGACTATGCAGGATTGGTGCAATTCCGACATTGTAAGGCAGTTGTGATTTTAATTAAGTGGTGGAGGCTATGAAGTCTAGTGGAACCATCGATACAACCACCTCGATGGTGGAAAAGATGCCGATCCAACAGGTGGTTACACATCCTATCAAGTTCGATGTGATGAAATTTGATGACAATGGAAACTTTGGCATATGAAGATGCGAGGTGATGGATGTGCTGTGCTCTTTGAATCTAAAAGAAATTCTAGATAGTGATGAACTTCTTGAACAAATTTCTGAGTGAGATTGGCTGAAGATGAAATAGAGTGCCTGTGGCTTGATCAGAAATTATTTATCTCAGGAGATCAAGTACTGGGTGATGATTGAGACTTCTGCTGAAAAATTGTAGAATATTATAGAGAAAATATATCTGACAAAAAACATGAAGAATTGCCTCCATATGAAATGCTAACTCTATAGATTTCAAATGAGACATGAGGTTACTATTGATGAGCACATAAATGATTTCACAAATCTTTGACATATCTGATAAATTTAGATGAGGAGGTTGGAGATGAAAACAAGACTCCTATTGAATTCGCTCCCGGATGAGTATGAAAACTTCACGTAAGAATAAAAAGGATTTTGATTTTAAATCTCAAAAGAATTTTTTAAGCTTTTACTAAATGAGTATTAATCATGCAGTTGGTCATGATCTGTTGATTGAGAGTTTGACTATCATCTAAGAGGTCTAATGTTTGAAACTTACATATCAGATGTGTGTGTGAGTCTGCATTAATTAACTAAAAAGTCTAAAAAAAAAGAGTAAATTGACATCAACAATTTGTTCTTTTTATTTTTTAAGTTTACATTAATTAGCTCTTTTAATTTAAGGGATTGGAAATAGGAAATATAAAAAGTAAAATGAAAAGTAGAAAAAAATTGAATTGAAATTTGTTTGGTTGAGAGAAATTGAGCTGATAACAATTTTTTGGTTTCTGTATTTTTTTTTTTGAAGGTTACAACAGCATAAAATAAAAGCGAACAGAATAAAAGACTACAAAAACAGAAAGAAAAATAGAAGCTAAAAGCGAGCTCAGCAAAAGATCAAGGCTCCCAACTTCCAGGACGTCCCGCACGGACCCTCCAGTAAGGCGTCCCAACGATCCATCCCGAAAAAGCACACCTACGGTTACCACCAGCAAAGCTCTCCTTATTCTGTTCGTTGGACGCTTTAACTATCGACCACAAATTTTTGAGTTTTGAGTCATTTATATATGTGATGTGTGTGTGAGTCTGGACGTTATCTCATAATGATCTATATAAAAAAAAAGAAAGCACAATTTATTAATGAGCTAAAAATTCTTTTTTTTTGGTTTATCGCACTTATTATTAAATTATAGTAAATAAAGTTAATAATCATCAACTGTATTGATAATTTATCTTTGTAGTACATATATTCAAATTTGTTTGAGTTAATTTTTATTTATATTTAACTTTTGACTTGTAAGTCAATAGAAAATAATAATAATTAGGGTTGGGCAATTTAACTGCTAATTTTTTTTGGTTTCTGTATTTTTTTTTTTGAAGGTTACAACAGCATAAAATAAAAGCGAACAGAATAAAAGACTACAAAAACAGAAAGAAAAATAGAAGCTAAAAGCGAGCTCAGCAAAAGATCAAGGCTCCCAACGTTCAGGACGTCCCGCACGATCCATCCCGAAAAAGCACACCTACGGTTGCCACCAGCAAAGCTCTCCGTATTCTGTTCGTTGGACGCTTTAACTATCGACCACAAATTTTTGAGTTTTGAGTCATTTATATATGTGATATGTGTGTGAGTCTGGACGTTATCTTATAATGATCTATATAAAAAAAAGAAAGCACAATTTATTAATGAGCTAAAAAATCTTTATAAATATATAACGAAATAATTTATATTATGACATTAATATAATCATCAAAATGAACATCATACAAAAATTTAATGTGAGTCAAGCTTTCATAGATCATTCTATTAAAATTAAAGATCTGTTTGGGACGATATTGCAGTATTTTATAAATTTGGTTATAAAATTGGTGTAGAGAAGACAATATTGTTACTGGAAATAAATATATATTTTTAAATGTTGTTGTAGAAAGCAACTTCCTAGCACAAATATTCTTAAAAATAATAAATAAATAATGCCCTAATAAAATTTATAGTTAAAATCTACGAAAAGCGATGTAGTAGGAAAGTTGTCCTCAAGAATACACATAATACATAAGCAAGACTTGAACATAGGACTTCTTAGTTGAGAGCCAAACTCCAAACTAACAAACCAATGAGATTTGCAAAAATAATTGTAATATTCAAATGATAGTTTAAACAAAGCGGTAAGCCTGGGGACAATGGATTCACGTGGCGCAAATGAGGAACTTTTATTAGGTCCTCTGACCGAACGTAGCTCTACGTTCGGTCATCACTGAGTTACTCGATTTTTGCTCGGTATTGCTAGGTATTGCTAGGTATTGCTTGGCAATAACGAGAAATACCGCTCTGTGAAGACCAATACCGAGTAATACCAAAAAATACCGAGTTTTTTTTTCGACCATTTTACTATAGTGGGACTAAAAAATATATTGATAAAATATAATAAATATAAAGTGTATAGAAACAAATTCTATGGTGGAAGTTGATAGTGTCGTATGTCATAAGAATCATATTTAAAATATGTTTTATATATGGTCGTACACATTTGGCGAGGAGAAACAATATATATATATATATATATATATATATAAAGAAGTTTTAAATATTCCATATATAAATATGTTAATATTAAGTATTTTTTAGGTAAATCTATTATTAATTAGTAAAAGGTTATAATATCTTCATATGATTTTTAATTATATAAATATTGTACTTTTATAAGAAGCATCATCACATATCCTTAAACAATATAAGAAAGTAGATTGTGTTGTTATGTCTCAACGCTACTCATAGATGATCAAAAACTTTTTTTTTTTTTTTTTTGCAATGTTGCACTCCTGAATTATGTTATA